TCTCATCAAGGACAAGCCACATCTCACACCTCCTTCCACGCTTTACACGCCATTCCTCATCCTCTCCCCTCCTCCTCAACGTCCCGCCTACCGATTCCGCACGTCTTTACACCTCGGCGTCGGTCGGGCCCTAGCACTGTACACGTCAGTGCGTCACAAAGCACCACACGTTCTCAATTGTCCTACCGCGCCTTCATCCCACGTCGAACCTCGGTCGATTCCCAAACGCCCTCTCCCATCGCAGACGATCGAGCGACCGCAGAAGACGATCATCCACTCTCTGGCTTTCCCGAGTCTTCTTACCACACACCACCTCTAGACTCTCAGCTCCAGTCCTCTACACTATCCTCCATCCCAGGCAAGTCATCGAGCTACATGTCGCGCTTCCACCGCAGCGCTCAAGATACGCCCCCTGCAACGCCCGACCATAGGGATGGCCGCAGCACAGAAGCGTCCTCTGTCGCCTCCAGTTCCACGTATCAAAGCAAAGCGGCGCTACCTGCGATGGCGTCGCGTCGCTCGCCGGCGAGGAGCATCACCATCGCAGCTAGTGCGCACGTTGCGCCTAGCCCGGCACCTTCCTCCAGGTCGCTGCTGCGACGTCACAAAGCGCCCGACACCGAGCCACCCGTGTCGCGGTCGCCTTCCGCGTGGCTCGCCCGAAAGCTAGGCAGACGAACTAAATCGGAACAGGCGCAAGCAATGGCACCGCCGCCGGTCAGTGACCGGCCGCTGCAGAGCATGTTGGGCGCTCCATTACCATTTGCGGACGAGTACAGCGCCACGACACTGTCAAGGCTGAGAGGTCTGCGTCTGTGTGACACGACCCCAAATGTGGCTCGCAGCCCTTGGGCGGACCATCCGCCCCACTGGCCCTTGAGCTCAAAGTCTCAGTCGGAACATGCGCCGATTGCCTTTTGGTCTGATTTCGTTACGCTGTACGCAGCTGGCGCCGTCGATCTCAGCGACCCTCCCAAGATTCCAGTGTCCTGCGTCTCGTACGAAAATCATCCGCTGCACCCTGCCCTTGAGGTCAAATCGACAGGTTCGGATCGTGGCGTGCCGCGATTAGCAAGGGGAAACATTCTTGCATTGAAAGGCTCTCCACTTCCGCCGCCTACAGGTCCACTTCCCGCTCCTCCCACCGACGCTCAGAACCAGAGCCATGCTAGGGACTCGCTTCGACCACCCAGGCCGGCTTCTCGACGACCGAGCACGGGTAGCGCTGCGAGTACGCACTCGCACGGAGGTGGGGATCGCTCCAGTAATGAGAGTCGCATGAGCCCCGTCGTTTGGGAGGTCAATACTCGCGAAGGTGCTCGGTCTACTGAGCCGCCTGTGCCCGACGTCATGCCAGGTGTGCCAACGTCGGAAGGAGTAGTGCGAGGAGGCATGCCTGCCCCTCTGCCAAAGTGAGTCTTGCGAAGACCACCTCTTCCACGTTTGGTTTCGATGAAACGACTAGGAGTACCGCTTGACGTGTCTTCTCATTTCGTGTAGCTTCGAGCAAGCTCGTCTAAAGGCTCTTGCGCGCTGCGATGCTCTGCGCCGACATGGGTCTGTGGGACCTTTGGAAGGACACATTTCGGCCGGGCAAGCTAAATATCGACAAGCTCCTGCTGTCACTGCCAGTCTAGCGGAAGAGGTACAATCATCAGACGAGCGTCGTGGGCCTCGTCAAGAGCTCCAAGCGGTAGCGGATTGCTTGACGGAGAGAGCGCTGGCTCGACTCGACCCGGATGGGACTTGTCGGATCGTGTGGATCGAAAAGGAAAGGGTGTCCATCTTTTCGACTTGCGGTCATGCTCCTGGTGCACAATCACCCTCGACCTCACCTCGGCCGCATAGTTTAGATGTGAGCTTGTTTGCTTGTCTTTGTGCTCAAAGTTTCTGCACACCTCTGCTCGCACTCACTCGTCTATTCACCGCGTGCAGGCGCATACGATTCTGAATCGAGGCGAAGCCTTTGTCGTCCCTGACGCCCTCATCGATCCTCGTTTCACAGAATCGCCAGTCGTGCAAAGCGGCGAACAGACGCGCTTCTACGCTGGTGTACCTGTGATGAGCGAGGACAAGCTGCCCATCGGTATGTGTAAAGCTGGTGGAGAAGCGTCGAGAAATGTTCGACTAATAAAGCATATGCCTCACCAACAGCCGTTTTGTCCATCTCGTCCAAACGCCCTCGCCAAGGCTGGACAACATCCGATGATCGATGGTTGCGGGCCTTGGCCCTGGAGTTTGAGCAGGCCCTTGACCGAATTCGCGAGATGGAGCTGGACAGCTTGACGTCGAAGTTGGAGACTGGTGAGTGTGTTTAAATTGGTCTCTACATAGCGTATAGGACTGACTGAATCATCGCCTTAGCCTTGAGCAAGATGCACAAAATGCTCAAGATCCCAATCACGCCAAAGCTAGAAGGCCCTGCCACCGCAATGTCGACGCCGTTGATTGGCTCTCGCTCGCGCACTCCGTCTCATGTTTCGTCATTGTCCATGGCGAAGAGTACTTCGAGCGTCAAGCATTATCACCTACCAGGCACCCCAGTCGCTGCAAGTCTTTTCGATGAGGTGTCCGAGCTCAGTCAAATCGAGGCTGCGATGGAGAGCAATGCGGAACGCGAGGCGCAATGGGGGTCCAGCGACCCAGCTAGCAAAGCCAGCAAAGCGAGCCTGGAGTCTGCCGTAAAGACGCTTACGGCTGCGGTTTCCATGGACGCCGTCTACGTCGCAAAGGTGGGTCGACCGTCAGAGATCATCATCTCTTGCGGCTTGAGCGAGGCTAGCCCCAACCCCGCAAGCCCATTGGATGAAGAAGTGCACGAGACTGCTCGTGCTGCGCTGCACGTGGTTCAGTTCTCCGAGCGAAGCGGCCGTGGCACCCGTCTGCCTTGGCTAGGCATGAGCCCCTCGGGTAGAGCTTTGCAATTTGCTTCGGGCGTCATGGCGCCCTGCCGCCCCGATACGTGGACAGCAGGCGTTTCCGAGTCTGTTGCAAGGTCACGCTGCGTCCTCGTCGCGCTGAGTTGCGAGGGGTCGCGTCTGCTTCAAGATGTTGGTGAGTTGACAATCGGTCCACCAGACGATCGCAACGGTGCTGATGAGCCTTGAGCCGCACCTCTCAGAACACCGCTTTTTGGAGCGTGCAGCTTCTCTACTTGCCACCCAGCTCGACTGCCACGAGTTTTTGAGCCCAAAGGATGCTCGTTGTCTCTCGGAGAGCCCTCTCACTATGCCCTCGAATTGGACAGTCGACCATTCTGGCAGCCCTGCAAGTCGTGCGAATGCTGTCGGAGTCCCTGCAAGTAGTGTACTGGACGAGTATCGCACGTCTTTGTCAAAAGGTAGCGCGCCGTTGCACGGCACCACGAACAGAAGGCATCGCGAACGCTCTACTGCAACCTCGACGCACTCTTCGAAAGTCACGTGCGACTCGTCCAGCGATTTCACTCTCGGTCTGGGGAGCGAGGGCTTGACTTCCAAGGAGCCCACAGAAGCTTTTCACGCAGTTGTTGGCGAGATCATCGTGGGGCGAAATTCCCGCATCAGCCCCACGTTTGAGTCACCAGCACTTTCCACTCCTTCGCTGGCGACCACTCTCGCATCCGATCCGTCCAGCAGTATACCCGACAGCTACTTTCACACAACTTCGCTGGATTACTCTTCGGCCCCGTCGCAGCGACACGGGACAGCGACAGAGGGCAGTCTCTTGATGTCGCCCTTGACACTCAAGCAGCGCACGCAGAGCGTGTCCTCCCTGAAAGCCAAGTACGATGTGGCTGAACAACTCAGCCACGAGCGATTGGCCGATGGCGCGAAGCTCTTCCGCCGCAAAACGAGTGCGCTGTCAGGAAAGCTTGATAGTACACGCGCTTCGGCAACGTCTGTGAGCGGCGCCTCGCCCGAAAGGCGTAGTTCGATCAGCTTCGTCGGATGCCCACCAGACGAGCCAAGATCCGTCGAGGGCGTCGATGCGCTGCAACCGTACTTTGCAGCGGCTTACACAGAACACTCTGTCAAAGTCTGCGGACAGTCTATTGACGGGCCGCAAGCTCAGGAAGAGGTGACGGGCTTGTCGCAGGAGCTTGCTTGTTTGCGCAGGCACCGCGCCAAAATGGCCGAACAGCGCGCCATCAGTCCGAGCTTGTGGAAAGAGGAGCTTGGTGAAGCACCGTCGCGTCCGGACACGGCGTCCACTATGCCCTCCTTCCATCGGACTTTTCACTGAGGTGTGTGCGCTGGCACAAGCGCGGAGAGCCGAGAGGAGAATGATGCGTCCCAGACTCGTTGGTCGTGTACCAGATCAGAAGTGCCTGCTCGAGTCTGAAACTTCATCGTCACCTTTGACCGTCACCCAAACTTGCTCATGCCCTGCATTTGTATCGCTTGTTTTTTTTTTCTTGCTACAGTGCCGCCAAGTGGTATCTAATGACATTCTCCCCCCTACATGCTTGCTCAGGCTGTTGCGCTGAACTCCAGGGCCTTTTGCAGACGGTTCATCGCGAGCTCGTAGGCTTCGTCTCTCAGCTTGGCCGGCTCTGTGCCTTCCTTGACCATCTTGTCCCAATTATGTCCCTGACCTTTTGCCTCGTAATGCACTACATCTCGTCCAGCTTCCTCGAGCTTCTTGGCCAAATTCCGCGCTTCTCTAGCCAGCGAATCGCCCTGGCACGTGATGATGGTGGTGCTGCTTGGGAAGGCTTGGGTCGATGCGTAGATGGGCGAGACGAGCGGGTCGTGCCTCTTTTGCGATGGAGGCAAGTAGCAGGCGTAGAGGAAATGACGAAGGTGGGGAGGAAGGACAGCGCCGGCTGCGCCTTTTGCTGGAGATAGAGCTGGCTTGTTGTAAGGAGATTCGGCGAGGTCGGTGGAAGGGTAGAAGGCGGCTACTGCTTTTATGCTCGCATCTCTGCGCTGGTGAGCGCGAACGCAGGCTGTGAGGACCAGATTTCCGCCGGAGCTGAAGCCGGTCAGAGCGATTTTGGAGGCATCCCAACTTAAGGAAGAGGCTTGTGGGTCCATGTGGG